GGTTAATAAAGCAACAAAGCCATTAAAATCTTAGTGGCATTTACATATAAAACATAAAGAAAAAATCTTAGAAAGCCCCAATATGATTTCTTGAAGAAAAGAGTATTGAAATAAGAAACCACAGAAGCAGATGTTCAATATTTTACAAATAAACTTTGGTGCACCATGAGCTTCTTACAAAGGAGCGCCTCAGGGAGACAGGACTGAACCATCACATACAAGGCTGAGATCTGGGGAAAAACCACGCCCAGGACATTTGCTTGCAAATGTTGGGTGAATCTGTGCCAAACAAAGCAGCTCATGTCCCACTCTCCTTCGACAACACAATCCACACAGTCAGGAACTGCTAATGATATGGAAATCCAGCTACAAAAAAACCAGTCCTAAACAAAATTATTTTTCATTGCCACTTGACCACTGTGCTCACAGCACCACCACAGCAACCCTTCATTGCATTGGGATTCGAACAGGAGGGCGATGTCACAGAATTCTCCTCTTACTTTCCTTTCCAGCAAACACAACTAGCTCTCACCTGTGTGACACTATGAGGGGGTAACTCAGCAACAGTGTGGGTTGTAGCTTCAATGTGTGGGAGGGCCAGTGTCTCGTCTACGGCTCCAGTCAGCTTCATGTCGGTGGCTATTGCCGCAGGCTGCTTCCCCTCTGGGATCTTTTCCATACTGTGGCCAGAGCGATCCTTTAAAAATGTGACTAAGATCATGTCACTCCTCTAACCCACACACTCCATCAGCTGGCTCTGCGTGTCTCTAAAGAGATAAAGTCTAAAGCCAAAGCCCTTGCAAAGCTGACAGCTTCCATGAGCCCTGTTTGCTATAGTCCTTCGTTTTCTCATTGTCCCATGTCATGTCTGTCTGTCTGTCTGTCTGTCTCTTTCAACTTATTTGTAGGTGCCTTGACCCAATCATACTTTGGTGGGGAAGTCACACCCTTAATTTCATGTCTCTTCACCATTTTGTCCATAGAGAGATTTAATGAGACAACTTAATCCATTCAGAGATTGTTAAAATAAGCCCTACCTTTAACTTGGTCATTGCCCAAAGCTGAGTTTTCATTGGCTTTTTTCCCTCCAAGGCTTCCTCCAATATGTATTTCAGTGTTTGAGATTGAAAGTTCTCTCCCAAACTTACAAGTCCTTATGCAGATGTGATGGCTAATGAAGAAAGAATTTGTGGGCTCTTTATTTTTTTTAAATATTTTTTTAGACTTATTTATTTATTTTAGAGGGAGAGAGAGAGTGTGTGCAAGCAGGGGGAGGGGCAGAGGGAGAGAGACAGAATCCTCAAGCAGACTCCATGCTGAGCACGGGGCTCCATGTGGGGCTCGATCCCAGGACCCTAAGATAGTGGGCTCTTTAGCATGAGATTAGTTATGTATGCATGGAGTAATACTTAAATAATACTTTTGGGTGGATGCCTTATAGACCAAGTGTAAAATTCCCCACATTTCCCACTTAAATGGAAACTTAAGAGGGAACGGAAATGTTTCCTCTGACAAGACAGAATACATCTGTATCCAATTACAGTCTAATGGTAATAACTTGATCCTTCCCCAGAAAATAAGTTGGGCCTTAGAGTATTTTAATTCCATTTATCCTGCTCTCATACCATACATGGTATTGTCTTCACACATTTTAATTCTATATTTTAACCCCATAATACATTATTATTTTCATACTATCTAGTCGAAGTGAATTTAGATTTACTCATATATTAGTCTTTTCTCTTTATTCGTCAGACACTTCTGCCTTTCTCTCTAAGGTCATTTTCCTACTGCTTAAAGCACATTCTTCAGAATTTCTTTTAGTGTGGGTTTGCGGGCACAAAGTATTTCAGCCACTGCTTGAAATGACGTGTCCTTCTTTTCGTCACTGTTGAGGTTTGCCCATTTTCTCATTTCCACACATTCAGAGGACACCCCCTCTGTCTTCAGGCTTCTTTTCTCAGCTGTTTGGAAACTCTGTGGTCAGTCTTTGGCCCCTTTGAAGAGAGTCCATTTTCCCTTCTTTGGCTACTTTCTCTTTCTCTGTTATGTTGAGGTGAGGATATCTTTTTTTTATCCTGCTTGAGACTCCCTGGGATTCTTAAATCCGTGGATTGATTTCTTTCATCAATTCTGGGAAATTATCAACCATTATCTCTTCAATTCCTGCTTCTACCCCATTGAATCATTTCTACCTTTCTGGGATTAAAACAACAAAAATTTATACCTCTTTAGAACATACCCCTTTTTGATTTCCCCCCGTATTTTGTTACTCTGTGTCATATTCTGGGTACTTTCTCCTGATGCATCTTCTTTTTTAATAATTTCTCTCCAGCTGTGTCTGTCCATTGACTTTAAACTCACCAACTGACTTCCTACTTTTGATTATTGCATTTTTAAGTTCTAAAATTTATTTTTGGTTCTTTTTAAGTTTGGTCTGTTATTTTCCATTTTCCTGATAAAATGTTCAAGCTTAGATTTTATTTCTTTAGAATTATCCTCCACTCCTCTTACCTGACATCCCACATTGAAGCTCACAGAAATCCTGTTAGCTCCATCTTCAAAATATACCCAGAATAAGGCAGCATCTTATCATTCCTGCCACTGCACTGCCACCTTGCTCTGAGTAGCATTGTCTCCCACTTGGATTTCTGCAGTGTCTCCTCACTGGTCTCTTTGCTACCCACCCTTGCCCCCGCCCGTCCATTTTCCACCTGTAGCCAGAGAGATCCTTTTATAGGACATGTCAGATTCTGTCATGCCTCTGTGCTAAAAAGGTATGGCTAGCCCTCCATTTCAGAGTAAAAACTGAAATCCTGGTGATGACCTGCAGGGTTTCCTAATTACCTCATGTCCCAGTCTCTGGCTCTTCCTTCTAACCGACACATTCTTGGCACACACCCCAAATTACTAACTCCTCCACCAACTCCAATCCTGCTTTAATGCCATCTCCTTGGGAAAGCCCACCCTACCCTCTTATTCTCCATCCAGCATGCAACACTGCAAATCCTCCTGTATTTGTTTTTTTCCCCAAAGCATAGATTACCTTCTATCATAATATCTATTTTTCTCATATATTATCCTTGACGATATGTCCCTCAGCCAACAGAATGTTAGTTGTACAGGTGTAGGAATTATTGTTTATTTTGTTCATGCGTGTATCTCATGCACCTAGAATGGTGCCTGGAATATAGGTACCTCGCACATTTGTTCCATGAATATGTGCACTAATTACTTATTTAATTCATTCGACTCTCTCCCCAAATGGAATCTTTACAAAATCCATATATACTATCAGTGTGGAGAACTAATAACAATACAGTGACGGCGAGGTTTTGTCCTGAGCGGGAGGCCCAGCACCCCTCCCCTTCATCCTCACAGTGTTCCTCAGAGGCCTCTGCCCAACTCCAGGATTCTGTGGAATAAGCTGGAAATCCCTGGCCTGCCTGTACTTAACACGAGGGTTGTTTCAATAAGCTAACACACATCGCAGCCCCCTGTGAAGCCCTTACACCCGGTGGCATGCATCAGGATGACAGAGAAGATCCAGCCAGTCCTCTATCCAGTTAACTTGGGGATCCACACAGGGACGTGTGCTCTTGCTTCCACAGACCTCACCAGCTGGAGAAAGGCAGGAAAACAAGGGTGCGGACAGTAAAAACTGTTGGGGCTAAGCCCCCACCTGGAGTCACTAAGACCTCAAGACCCTCAGGACCCTTCTCTCCCTCTCTTCCTCTGGTGCAGGCTCTGCTGTCTTCACATATTCCTGGGTGGTTTGAGAAGCCAGCCTCTGCCGGTGGGTCTGTCCCTTCGTTACCTCGAAAAGTACCTGCCCCAAGATCTGCTTGTCCTGTAGTTGCTAACACTAACCTGGTTTTTCTGGAGGCTGCTAACGCCATCCAACATGCAACACTGCAAATGCTAGACAGTGTGAAAACTCTGGATTTCTTTCTCTGCTACTCTTAGCTGCTGCTTCTGAGACACTCGGGACTGGTTCCTCATGGACTGAGGCAGAGGCCATGGAAATGTTACAACCCCAAAGCATCTGTTATGGCTCAAATTGCATCCTCTGCTGCAGCCCTAACCCCTGGCATCAGTAAACATGATCTTATTTGGAAATAGGGTCTTCGCAGATGTATCAAGTTAAGATGAGGTCATTTGGGTGGGTCTCAATCCAATATGACTGGTGTCCTTATAAGAAAAGCAAAAGACACACAGAGAGAAGGCCGTGTGACAGCAGAGACAAAAATTGAAGTGACGCAGCAGCAAGCCAGGGAACAGCAGGGATCCACAGCTGGCCCCAGAGGCTGGAAGAAGCAGGGAAGGAGTCTACCCAGTCTCAGAAGAGGGCATGCGGCCCTGCACTCACCTTGATTTCTGACTTCCAGGCCCCAGAACCATGAGATGGTAAATGTTTAGTCCCCCAGTTTGTGAGACTTCATTACACGAGCCCTAACAGTGTTCATTCCCTACCACCTGGTAACAGGTCCCAAGAGAGAACCCAAACACCTTGACTCTCTTGCCATAGAGCGATTTCCCCGCCTTCCTGTCTCCATCCCTGGAAACTTCCTTGAGGTTCCAGGAAACATCTGCTGCCCTTGGTATTCAAAAGCAGGAATCCTGGGGTACCTGAGTCCAATGACCAGTTCTCAGAGTAGAAAGTATGATTGCTTCCAGAACCCTACTGTATGCCCTTGTGGAGAGACTCCCGGCAGCTTGCCCTGGCACGCGAGTGTTCCCACTCTGGTACCTTACAACCTGCACGAACTAGATACAGACAAGGGCTGGCTCATGGATGACTCTTGGGCGCACTTCACCCCCCACATTACCCTCACGCAATCAGATACGTTCCACAGTTCATTCCTTCAGCACGGAAGCCCGTGAAAGTGAATTGAGAAGGGAAAAAAATGCAAGGACTGATATCACATTTAAAATCATTTTCTTCTTTAAAATTTTAAACAATGATACATAGAGAGAAGAGAAGCAGTACCATCCAGAGATTTACGTCTTCTAGTGAAGAAACACGGACACAGTTCCCCAGAGCTCAATGTGACTCTCCATGGAGCAAAAAACGTCTTCAGCCCTGAAATCCCTCTCTGGCTTGACTGTGTCAACCTGTCATGCGGGGGAAAAAGCATTTTTTAAAAACAATCCCCAAATCCTTTAATGTTTCCATGGCTTTTTTTTTTTTTTCTTCTCCTCCTAGCCTTTCCTTGCAATTAGTAAAACTGAACTACATCCAGCCCTTCCCGCGCGAGCCGTGGGAAGGCTGAGGACTTGCTCGCCCGGCGCCGCACGCACATTACTGCAGGCTTCGGGGCGCTGCAGCGCCTTAGCTGATCACTGCGGAGCAGAGCACGAGGCACAGACGTCAGAGGGGCTACACCAGACTTCCTCACGCACAAAGTACGTCTTGGGTCCTGAGTTCCCGAGGAGTGTGATAAAAATGAAGATGTATACTGTGTGCTGAGATATCTGTAAGATACATATGCATTTAAGAAGAAATTATAGGTAGTGCATGTTTTCCAGACTCAGTCCTTATACAGGATTACTGTGTGTTTTTGTGAGCGTGCATGCACAGAGGGTACACACACACACACACACACACAGAGTACAGTACAGTCGCCTGAAGGGAAAGGAGGAGATGACACATTCACCTTCTCCCTTTAGGACGTACACAGGGCAGTCCTCATTTCGGGGTTTCCCTCCACTGTGGGCAGTGCGACAAGAGGGTCTACTGTTTCCTGCGCCCCTGCCTGCGCCCCCTCCAGTCCTTGCCGTCTGCTCGGCGGGAGGGGACACTGCCCCTCTGCGCGGACTCCGTGCGCCTTCCCAGCAGGTGGACGTGCGGGACCGATTCCTAGATCAGGGTGCGTCTGCGCCTCCAGGGCCAGGATCCAGGCTGCACCCTGAGAAGCACTCCGGGGCCGCAGGGGCGGAGCCAGCTGCTGGCAGGCGCCTCCCACGGAATCCCACCCTTGGCGAATGTCAGTGCCGGACCCACTTCAGCATCCTTACTGGGTCCATTTCCTCCTCTCCACACGGGTCCTACTCCTTTTTCTCCCCACTGATATCCATTGACATCTGTATCTTTACATATTTGCAAAATGTATCATTTTTCTCTCTTGGATGCAAAAAGTGAGCCAAGAATTATCTGGTAGCATTCAGTATGTCTGCCCAATTTTGTATAAAATAACCTTTTGAATTAGGACTAATTTTGACTTATTTTATGCAATATGCAGTCTGCTTAAAATGGGATCTTCCACTGAAGTCTATCAATCAGCATGTTAATACATAATACATGTTATTTATTGCCCCTAATCTAGGTTTGCAAAACACAGTTATCATTCATATCAGAATATGGGCTTAGACATGAAATGACGGAGGTTATATTTGAAATGGTGTCCTAAGGCTACAATGTCCTCATGTCAGTTTCTTTTGTTGTTGCTGTCATGCACCCAAAAATTGCTGGATGCTACATTTACTATAAAAGATGTCACCCTGCACATCGATGGTCCACAGTCCTGGTGACGCAAATGAACGAAGCTGTGAGTTTCTCCTTTCCATGTCACCCTCCTTCGGCCCTCTTGAGCCCTCTCTTCATGCCTCACTCCTCCACTGTTTTCATCTCTTTATCTTCGCTGGAGTGAAAGAATGTGGGGAATTCAGGAGTTGATGTGATCCCTCCGTAAGGTACATCACCTGTCTCCCTTAGCTGGCAATAGCCAGCTTATTAACTCCTATGGATGAAGGTCACCCACAGGCAGAGAGCTTGTCCCACTGTAAAAATGCACCCCACTTACGGTGTGGTTGCAGCCATCCACCTGAACACAGCGGTGATCCTCATGGCCCAGGCAAGCAGACAGGCTGCTCCCCTGTAGCAGTGTGTAGCCTGGGTCTCTGGCTCCGGACAGAGCTGGAGATTAGAAAGGTCTGGAATTGGAAAGAACGGACACAACCACTTTGCTCCTGGGTGTTATTTATGGCCATCGAAGAAGTTTGGAGGAATGGAGGCCACTGGGGAAAAAAGGATTTAAAATTATTATGAATTTACAAAAGATTAGGCCATGGTCTTTGTAGCTGCTTTACTCCGAGGATGCTGTGCTCTGGGCACCCACTTTTACTTGAAGGGGTTGTGCTCTGAGAAATGTCCATGTGAGCCCGCAGAGGCTGCCCAGAGAAGTTCAGGGAGGCAGGGCAGGTCTATCAGGGAAGCCCCTGAGACCAGGTTTCGGAGTGCCCAATTTACCAGCTTGCAGAACCTTGACGCTTCTGCGTGGAGGACCCGCGTGAATATATGTGGCTGCTCCCAAGGGACGTTTCAGAGACCTGGCATGTGTTTGTGTGTCCACCTCCGGAGCTGGGGCCCCCTCCCCTACCCAGAGCTTGATCCCTGGGCTTCCCTGTGAAGTTGCTGGGCCATCACCAGTGGTTGAACCTCTGAAGAAAATAAGGAAGGGGGTCCTGGGACGTCCCCCCGTGAGTCAACCTGCGCCTCCCACCTCCCAGCACTAAGAAGTGCTAACTGACTGGCTTGTTGGAGGACAGGCATTAATTAGATATACCAGCACCTATTTATCTTATGAGAAACCTGCGTGCACTCGGCATTAGAATGCAGAAGCATGCAGGATTCCTGCCACCCCAGACTGCTTCTGCTGCTGACGCATTTGCTTCTTGATTTGCATTCAGAGCTGGTGCTCTGGTTTGTGTCCATAACACCCCCCCACAAAAACCCGGGGGAGCAGAAGCTACAGCTACGCCCCAACAGCCCCCACCAACACGACGTCTGATCGACTGTGTCGCAGCAGCTTGAACTCTCTGGCCCCCTGGCCGCCCCGTTGGCCTGCAAATGCCCTCGGGTCTTGTGTGCGCGGCGCTGGCGGGACCCCACAGTGCCCGGCGGGGCGCGAGGGCCGGCTGCTTGGGGTCCACCTGCGCGGCCGCCCGCAGCGCGCACTGCGCACCGCGCTCCGAGAGGTTCCTAGGCCTGCGGCGGTGCAGGGAAGGCCTCGCAGCAGCCCCTTCGCCGCGGGCAGGGGGAGGGGTGCTGGGCACGTGCCAGGCCTGACAGCCCGGCGGCTTGTTTTATGGGTCTGATAATAAAAATCCCATTAGGCTCCTCTCATTGAGAAAAAGGAGCAGGAGAAAAAAAAGCTGTGTGTCACCGCGCGGCATTGACGCAGGCGGCTCTGACGCCAGCAGCCGCGGGCGGGGGCGCGGGGGGGGGGCGCAGGGGACCCGCGAGGGGCGCGCGAGGGCCGGCCTCCCCGGCGCCGGAGCCCCGCCGTCCCTGCAGCTGCCGCACCCCCTGCGGGTCCCCCCCATCCCCGCGCCCTCCCCGCGCCCCTCTGCGCCACTGCACCCCTGCCCCCCTTCTGCCTCCCCACAGCCTCCACACCTTCCTCTGTCGCACCCCCTACCCTGGCACCAATCTGCAGTCCCTTGTGCCGACCCCCTAGCATCCCTAGCAGCCCCCTCTCCCCTTACCAGGGAGAGCGGGGGAGGGGCAGGAGCGGTATGAAAGGGGAGGGGAGCCGAGGTGGAGGGGGGAGGGATACCCGCAGTCCCCAGAGGAAAGGTGCTACAGCTGGGGGTGGGGAGAGACTACCTTTTCCAGGCCACATATCTTGATGCCCAGGCCCCCAGGAGACGCCATCACAGGAACCCCCTGCAGACCCGCGGTGCCCCCAGACTTCGTACCCAGCCACCTCTCCAGCAAGTGCCTATTGTTCATGGCCTGAGAATCTACTAGAGTCAGGGTTATTTTTCTGTTAAAAAAGCCATCAGGACAGGAAAAAACATTAGTGGTGCTGTGCCCTGAGTGTGCATGTCTGATCCAGGGCCCTGTGCCCGCGTCCACGTGTGTTTCCTCATGGAAAGCTCTGGGCCTTAACGCCCCAGCGAACTGGAGAAGCCGGGAGCGGCGCCGCCCACTGCCAGGCCTGTGTGGGGCGGTGGGCATCCAACAGCCCTGAAGACGGGTGTTGGGCCGACACAGATTTGTGACCTAAAATAAATGCTGCTTCTCTATGAGAACTAAACCGGCAAAGGTGCGACTGCATAAACATCTGGATTTCCAGATCCGTGGGTTTTTTCACACTCTCCAGGACAGAGTAACTTTGGCCATTTTACTCCTTTCTAAATGTGCTACAAAATTCATCCTATAGGATAGGCTTGAACTTGGTAGCCACAGTTCAGCCCCCAGCTGTAAATTCTGACCCTTCTGCTCTCACACCCACTTGCTGTGGTTGATACATTACCCATGATATTCTGATGGCATGGAACTTTCCAGCCCACTGCAGTAGGCAGCACCCTCACTGGTAGAGAGCGATTCTGAGAAAACTTAGGACTGTCTTCTCATGGCTGATAAAATGGCATTATGCCCAGAATTAGAAACAGGAATGTCTGAGGCTTGCATGCAGGTATCACAAGAGCATGACTCACAATAGCCAGAAGCTGGATACAGCGCAGATGTCCATCAGCTGGGGGATGGATGAACAAATGTAGATCCACTCAAGGGACTATTAGTCACCCATAAAGAGGAGTGGAGTTCTGACAGGAGCTGTGGCATGGATGAACCTGGAGGACGTTATGCTACATGAAATAAGCCAGACAGAAAAAGACAAGTACTGTATGTCTCCCCTTAGATGAGGTCCCTGCAGTCATCAAATCGACAGAGACAGGAAGGAGATGGTGGGAGCCAGGGGTGGGGGCGGGGGTGAGTGTTTAATGAGGACAGAGTTTATGTGTGGGATGATGGAGGGATCTGGAAGTAGACAGTGGTGATGGCCTCACAGCATTGTGAATGTAGGAGATGGTACTGAGTTGTACCCTTAAAGATGACTAACACGGTACATTGTGTGTTAGATGCATTTATCACAATAAAAACTAACATACAAACATAAGGTTCTCTTGGAAAGGATATCTCTCCCAGGAGTCCTCTTCGAACCACCACCTGTGACAGGGCCCCTCAGGCGTGGCGTCCACCACCACCAACCCCGGGAAACGCACCTGTTGCTGCCTTAAAGCCAAAATGAGAGCAGATACTGAACGTCACTGAGGGCTTTCCCGTCCTTTCATATTCTGCCAAAACGATTGTTATACCTGCTTGAGAATGTTTGGGAGTGGACTGAATTCTTACACCTTCTGGATCTTTCTTTGCTAGTGCCTTGCCATAGGCACCGCAAGACACGCCCCACTCCCAACAGTGCCACAGACACACAGTAATATAATGGATTCTTTGGAAGGAAAATGATTTCATCATCTGTGGTTATTGCTAACCTAAGTTGTAGTAGCTTCTTACTGCTGCTGACCACAAACTTTGTGGCTTGAAACGACACAGATTTCCCATCTTCGAGTTCTGGAGCTCGGAAGTCCAACGCAGTCTCCCTGGGCTACAATCGTGGTGTCAGCAGGCTGCCTGTGTTCCTTCTGGGGGCTCTGAGAGACCCATTCCCGCTTTTTCCAGCTTCCAGTGGCGCCTGCCCTCACCGGCTCCTGGCCCGTCCTCTGTCTCCGTCTCATCTTTGCCGGGAGACGTTCTCCCTAAAAGAATCAAGTGATTAGATTGGCCTGGCCTACCCAGAAATTCAGCTTATTCTCCCCATCCCAAGGTCCATCTCCATGTCCACAATCACACTGCCCTGTCCCCTTTGCCATGGCAGGTGCCACGCTCATATGTTCTGGGGACGAGGGCGCGGACATCCTCGGGGCTATGATTCTGCAGACCACACTAAGGCACCTGTTTGAGCTCCTGACTTGATATGAGGGGATATGGCTCTGAGTCAGCTGGGAGGCCCCACACCAGCTTGCTCTCCACTTACAAATATTCAGGGCAGAAGGACACCAAGGTTCTCCTGGGTGATTGCTTTCTCAGTGGCTTCACGCCTGTGTCTGAGTCTGGGATGTCGCTCTGTTATCTCCCTGTCCCCTGAGCGAGGGCTTCTCCTTGCCTCTTGTCACAATGGCAGCATTTCTCGGAGGGGTGGCGAGTCTTGCCTGGGAGCTCCTCTGTGCAGTTGGGACCCCTGGGGGCCCCGCACATTATATAGCTGGTTGAGACGGCGGTTCCCATGGTGGCCACTGCTAAGGGCACGGAGTCTGGGAAACAGGGCGCTGGGTGTCAGGCTGTAATTCTTCTCCAGGGGCAGAAGGGGTGGCTGGCTTCTGTGGTCCATCTCAGCCGTGCCCTCCGCCTCCCCTCACGGCTGGGCCTCCTGCTCCTGGGCTTGTCCCCTCCCCCCACACACAGTCCAGCTGTGTCCTTCACATGCCTGTCTGCTTGGCCTCTCAGGGTCCTCACCGTCTCTTCCTCTGAGTGCAGCCACGACGAAATCATTTTTAGAAATGTATTTCCTCATTTTTTAGGCTTTGGTGCAAGGCTGGGAGACCAGGACACATTCTCAGTTTGCTCTAAACACTTGTCATCTTGAGCTGATTCCGGGGGGTAGGCGGGAGGGGCACGCCAGACACTGTTCCCTTCTCACTCAGACCCCTCGATGCCCATCTGTTGCCTTGGGGAAACCTGAGTACCGATCCCAGGGCCCTGTGCTACCTCAGCTTCTTGGTGCCTGCAGCCTCAGCCCCAGCCTCGCAGGCCTGCCCGCGGCTCACCTTCTCTCCGTCTCTAGAAGCTCTTCCTCTCTTGAGCACCCTCACCTAGAGCCACCGCCCACCCTCTCCACTATCCTCTCTCCTGGCTAGGGCCCACTCTGCTTTGAGGTCCTACTAGAAAAACCATCTCCGAGATACCTGCTCTTACTGTTCTCCATCCCATCCCCAAACGCACAGCTTCACTGTGATCTGTGGACTTTTCCTTCAGAGCTCCCAGCGCAGCCTGCACGTACACGGGGACATAGGTTATGACCTTCACCGGCCTAGGGTACACTCCTCCAGGAGCTGACCATGCTGCTGATTTGCAACCCGCGCCCCAGCGTGTGCAGCTCTGTACCCAGCTCTTGGTGCCGTGTTTTCTACACGTACGCAAATACATGCCAGGGATGGTGGCGGCTAGACCGAGCTGGGACACAGATAGAAGGGGGCGCTTGTCCGTGTGGCTGATGCTCAGCTTCAAGCTCCTCCCTACCAGCCACGGCGCTCGTCAGCTTGAGGGATGTGAGCAAGGTGGGCCCCCAGCCCTGTTCCTACAGGCCGGTGTAATCTCTGGTCGAGCTCCTGCATTTCTGTTTGCTTCCTTTTTTTCTTCCCACATTCACTAGGGTTCCCATCTCTGTCCCCTATGAACTCTGCTAACTGTACTGTTTCCTTTCCCGATTACTTGCAGTGGAAATATTTTATTAGCTCTTTCCAGCATGTATTTGGGCTACATGTATCTCAGGATATAAAAGACAATTGACGGACAAAAGCAACTTTTTTTTGAAGGTACCTTGATACATTTGCAATAAATTAAAGATGTTTATTGCCGTCCTTACTTGATTTGTGTAGAATTTCCTTTGATATGCAGTTTCCCATCTTTGATCTTTGTTCAAGTGGAACATGCGCTTATACGTACCATAATAATTCTTTTACAACACTCATTGTGTACATTGTGTTTTAACATGGCCATGGTGACCAAAATAACTAATTGAAAAAAATCCTGATCAAAGATCAAATTATAAATGGGTTACATGCTGGAACTGTATATACTTTTATTTGTACATGAGTCAAAATCTTTACATTTCTTAATGGAAAATTCCAGACTTACGGGGGAATCTCTAACATTTCAAACTCCAGTGTGTTGAGAACTATCTCAAATCTGAAAGAAACAATTTCACAACTTTCAGTGACATATTTATGTATTCTCCACATAAGAAAACCTTTGTGTTGAGCTGTTACAGATCACATGGGGGCTGGAGGAGCGAAGACACTCCATCAGTAACAGAGCTGAGGCACATTCCCACATGGCCTTGACATACAATTGCACTTGGGTGTCCTGCTTGTGTATTATAAAAAAACTTATTTATTCCAGAGCTACATGGGTGAATACACTAAGTAGTCCAGTTTAATTTAGGATTGGAGCTGAATCCTGGATTTGTTATGTACAGGAAAGGGAAACATTGTTATGTTGGCATGTGGCTTGGCTTAGCAATCCTTCTACTTTCTTGACGACTCTTACATCTGTCTCCTCGGGAGTTTTAGCCTCTGGTCTGTCCATACTGCTTCGGTTACAGCTTCTCAGTAGCCATTGTAAAGCCAAGATATTTTGAGATGTGATAGCACGGTAGTTCTTCTCTTCACAAATTGGTCCGTGTCTGTGGTCGCTAATGGGGAACAGGAGTGAAATCTCACGAGGACACTGAAGTCTTTGAAAAGTAAAAACCACCTGCTTTAAACCAAATTAAACACGTTCAGTAGGAGGAGAGTAATGCCTACTGTAGTTAACTCTTCCTCGAAAATGATTTCATGATACGACAGAAGAAAACTGGAGTGGTAAAACCAGAATCCTCCTGGCTTCCAACTGACCAGTACTGATTACGTGCCCCAGGAGCGGGCCTGGAAGGCTGGAGCCCGAGGGGCTGCGGTCCGTCGTTGGGCAGGACAGAGACACTGGTGGCTGCATTTCCAGGTTCCAGCCTCCCTCCTCCCTTCCGAACGGGGAGGTGCTCAGCCCCAAGTGAAGCAGTCCTTTCCCCTCTGCCCTTGAGCCGGGGGTGGTCTGCAACACAGTCCTGGCAGACGAGATGGAAGCAAATGTTGCAGGTTTCCGGAAATGGTTTTACTTTTTCTGGAAAAAG